TAAAGGATCGTCTTCAAAATTAAATGTTAATCGATTAAATTCATCGATCCATTATTGGCTTGCCGGTGAAATTGTATCTTGTAAATGTTGATCGGCCCGATCCCAATCCTTAATGCAAACCAAGGCTTCAATCAACATTGAGTGACTGGTCTTTTAAAATAGAGATCATCAAATAGCGATGAAGTTATTAAACCAAACCAATCATTGAGTGACTTTTGATAAATTATCAATTTACTTTGGTATGCAAGTAGAAAGTTACTTTGATATAGAGTCACAAAGAGAGTGAAGAAAGTTGAAGAAAAAAGAGGATAATTAAGAGGATGAGGAGAGATTGTGAACAGAAAAATAGATAAAGATAGAAAGAAGAGTGATATAAAGTAGAAAAACACGAGTATCTATAAGAACAAAACCGGCATTATATAGAAACAACACTTTTTAAAAATAAAAAATAATAAAAACGTGATGGCAATGTGTTTCTTTCCTTGTGTATATTGTTTTTTGAGGAATCATTTTATCATGTGATTGATTATAAAAAAGGGTCAAGAATGTGAAAACTGAAATATTAAACTGCTAAAATAGGAATTTGCTCTTTCTATTAAGGAATTGTGTGTTTACCTTAATTAAAAAGTTAAAAATTTAAATAACAAATATGGGCATTGGGTCTAGTGGTATGATTCTTGCTTTGGGTGTGAGAGGTCCCGAGTAACTCGATTCTCAGAATGCCCCAATTTGTAGCAACTAATATTTTCGGGCGGTTTTGGGCAAATCGGGCAACTCGGGCTTCGGGCAAAATTCAGGTTTTCGAGCTTATTTTCGGGTCGGGCAATTCGGGCGGGTCGGGCAGTTCGGGCAAGGTTAGAAAATTTAAAAAAATTTCGGCAGACGGCGATATAGGGCGGTTAGACGACGGCGGACAAGAAAGTCAGTGTCAAATTCGGGCTGCCCGAGCCCGAACCCGAAAATCTAGCTTGGGCGGGCGGGGAGATGGGCTTGCCCGCCCGAGCCCGAAAAAATTCGGACTTCGGGCAACCCGCCGACCCGAACTTCCAGCACTGAATTAGTATCATAATATAATTGTTATATAATATAAATAAAAAAATGGACACATCCAGTCTTCTTGGAAACAAAAGGACATATAATCAAATGTCATGACAATATTTAATTAAAATTCTATAAAGAAAACAAGGTGCATAGACTAATCAATTTGTTTTTTCTTTTGGCTAAGCATGCTTAAGTCGATGCCCGTTCATACAATTGTTTCGTTAATTTTGTATTTTCTTCCATTTTATTTCAAGCAATACAATATATACTTTAAACAAAAAAGAAAGAAGAAAACTAACATTTACAAGATACAATTCAAGCTTCGACAACCATATAAAAAATTAGTGTATATATATTTTACACATGAACATGATCTCATAGTGTAGAAGATACTTTTGCGTAGTTCTTCCGAGCGTTCCCAATCATGCTCACTTCTCGTAACTTCTTCCAACACCACTACCAACGTCCGTGGCCAACCAAGATATTGATGAAGAAATGACGAAGGAAGCCAATGAGGAAGAAGAAAAATCTTGTATTCATTGGCAAGGTAGTTATAAAGAAGCTACTATTTTTTTCTTTTTTTTTTTTGAAAATAGAAGATATTCCAAATCAAGGGATTGCAAACACTATTACTGACTCGTACAACCTCAAACTATAAAAAAACCACAATCTTAATAAGCAACTAGTTCTCCTAATAAATTCGAGTGAAACACTCAAGAAAAATAAACGTGCATCATATTCTAAAATCAGAAACCTAAATAGATAGGCTATTAATTCTTTTTTTCTTTGTAAATTAGAATAAACGGAATACACGCTTTAAAAGAAATGTAATCTTTTTGACACATGAGCATGACATTTTTGTTTTGTTTTCTTTTTTTTTCCCCTAAACATTTCCTGATTTCTTTTTGTTTTTTCTACTTTTTCTCGAAGTTTCTAATATAATTTAATTTTGTTTACGATGTGTAGTTTTGAAATACGTTTTTTTTCCTTATTTTGCATGAGCATCACATTTTTGTTTTGTTTTATCTTTTTTAAAACATTTCCTTATTTCTTTTTATCTTTTTTTTCCTATATTTTTTTAAATTACTATATAGTTTAATTTTGTTTACAATGTGTTACTTTCAAATACTTTTTTTCCTCACTTCGCACTTACTGAAATAATTTATTTTGAATATATTCCTTTTTTTCTTTTTATTAAAGGTTATTTTGCAGTTTAATTCTTTTGCATTTGTTTCTCGAAACACTTTTTCTTATCATCATATTTACATTTTTTTTCTTAGTGGTACTTTCAACCACTATTTATGTCAAAATAAAACCAATCTAATTTATTAAATAGTTTTTATCACATATGAATCTACTTAATATTCTTTACTAATTTAATTTGTTAAATAGTTTTTATCACATATGAATCTACTTAATATTCTTTTTCTAAATGTTGCCTTCTTAAAATATTTTTTTCTAATTGCTTTATTGATGCATATCTTCTCAACTGTGTGTCTACTTATTTTTTTTTCCTTATAATCATCTTAAATACTATTTTTGCATATGTATCCATACAATTTAGTTTCTAATTTGCTCCACTAAAAATTGTGTTCCTTTAATTCTGCTGTGTGTAAATTTTTTATTTTTAATTTTTTTGTCAAATTAAACGCTTAAAGAAATACTAAGTCAATAAAAAAATTGAAGAAATTTTAAATCTTTATATAAAAAAAAATACAACACGTTAAATACACGTGCCTAGCAAATAGTTTCAACTAGTATTTGGGTGGGGGGGAGACATATACCGGACGGAATTACACATATACACAGTTTATTAGCTATTAGCCGTCGATACAATAGTACTATCATACTGTTTTTTATTTCTTTAAAATAATCTTTTTTTAGGGGAAAAATACTAGTCAAAGTTACGATGGTTAGTTTATGGATAACATATTAAAGGATTATAAATAATTTTGACAAATACTCTTTAAAATAGTACTATTAAAAAATTTTAGATCTCAACATTGACTTTTAAATTTTATCCTTTTAAGGTAGTAATTTGATAAATTATTATCTATAATTTAACAAATTACGCTGACTACGGGTCTTCAGTCACGGACGGTAGATCGCCAACCACGTGTTATTCCTATAGACAATATAATTTTTGTCTACACACTTTTCTTTTTTCTTTTTTTTTTGAAGGGAAAATTTTGTCTACATTTCCTCAATCAAAATCCCACTAGAATGTCATTTTCCAAAAAAAAAAAAAAAAAAAGAATTCCACAAGAATTAGGGGGAAAATTATATGTATTATCTTAACTGTTCAAAGATTGTATTAAAAAAAAAGATAAGACTGGAAAAACTTCAAAATGATAACACTAGCAAATTTCCCCATTTTTCTCCAAAATATTGCACATAAAAACAGTTGACACCACGAGAGCCACCACACACACACACACACACACACACACACACACACACACACACTCAATTAATTTGGTTTCAACATTACTATGGATGACAACACACAAAACTTAAAACATAAAATATATCACACTTGTAATTATTATTGATAGCAACATGAGCTACTACGTAAACTATTACTAGATGCAGGTACGAGTTCGTCTAACAACATACAATGCAACACCAGTGCAAGACCCCACCACTGCAATAATTATGCGCGTCATTTTTATGTTAATCTTTTCTGTATCGTTTTAATTTTATCAGATGTCTTAAAGGACCCACCGCTACAATAATTATTTTAGTATAAAATGACAATGTGGCCAACATAATGACCTACCACAATATCCAGACCAAGTCCTAGCCGCCTCCACTTGACAATCAAATTATAGCACAAGGCTAAAATCTACTTCTCTTTCCTCCATCTGGTGCTGAATGTGACTTTTGCATAGTGGTACTCAACAAGTAAACAAAGAGAGGAAAAACTAATATACTTTTAAATTACACCAAACATTTGACTTAGACAAGATAAACACAGAAATACCAATGTTACAAATTGCACCAAAATAAGCCTTATTGTAGTTTAAAATTAACAGATGAAAATACAAATGTGCTCTTTTCATAACAAAAAATAGCTGTCAAACAGCATATAACCTTCCAAGTTACTGTCATGACATTGACGAACTTCAAAATAACACGTCCACTTGTGATAACTGCTTACCGTTTAGTAATTATTCTTCATTTTCAAGAAAAAAAATGGTATTTTTTTTTTTATCAAAGTTCATCTTTATGCAATTTACAAACTATAGGAGATGGATTTTTACTTTTGAATATACAGGGAAAATTACATAAGGGAGATTTTAATAATTTTTCAATATAGTGTGTAAAGTGTATACCATTGCTTAGCAATAAGCCTGATCCAGTAAAATTATATGGCTCTATAAGAAAATCCTTTGTGCATTTATTGCACTCTTTTCAATCCTTAGACATGGAGTTCCCCCTCTCTTTGTAGTGGAAACCCATTAGTTTGAAATTGTTATGTTCTAGAATGTACCTCTATTCTATTTGTGCTTGATAAACTTCAAATAAGCACAAAAGAATTCACTACATAAGTAAATTTTGGAAAATTGTTCACCTCACATCAAATAAATAACCATTTTCCATTAAAACCAAAATGAAGAACACATTCCTAATTAAATAAAACTTTTCTCGATTGCCAATGAAAATCATAGTATGCAAAGTGTAGAATGATTTGTAGATAAATAATCAAACATGGAATGTTCCAATAGAAAATTTCAGTCTTTTTTCCGAGAAAATAGGGCAGTGCTACTAGGGTACAGTTTCTTAAGCAGATTCAAAATTATTTTCCAATATTTTTTTCCCTTTTAAATTCTAGATAAGCTTGACACCTCCTTCCCTCACAGAATCAATCACAGCTTTAACCTTACCATGATATCTTTGTTCTCTCTTCAAGTGGACTGTCACAGCGGGGATGTTGTTAATTAGCAGGCATTCTGCCAATATCTTCCCAATCTTTGCAGCAGCAGCCACATCCCGTGTAGTTTCCATGCATTCTCTCAAGACTTTTTCCTGCGAACTAGCAGAAGCAGTTACTGTGGCAGTTGGCGTGTGGATTACCTGCACGTTCACGAACTTGTTCGTGAAGTGCATCTTCAGGACGTAAGGCTTGAGGTACTTTGTGATTGCACGTGGCCTAGCCACTAAAATAATAACGTAAAGAAAGCGGGCACAAATGGTTGTTTTTCCTCTGATAAGTGGAAACAAAACTATCCATTTTGAATAAGCATGATAATGAAAAAGATAAAGCATTACATCTCCAACTAAAACAACTCTACTCAAGTGTCTGACTTACAAAAAAACGATACAGCTTCATACATTTTGGAGCATTCGCTTCTTAATTCAGCAAAAACAATAATACTAATTAATATTTATTTTGAGCGCCATGATATTGTCATATGAGGTATCCCATCCGCGCAGCGCGTAACTCGATATTCGTCAAGGACGTGACAAACAAAGATATGAATTGGTTGCGAGCCAAATCAAGAGCAGCAATTTCTCTTAAGATGCTTCAAACAAATTAATACATTTGAGTAGATCATTTATAGATCATGAAGAAACATTTGAACCATTCGTCATTGAACAATCCTATATCTTCTTTCCCCTCCAAGGCATAGTTTCCCCATTAAATAAAAACGCTCTTAACATCCAATCTACCCATATTAGTACGTATTAATTATAACATTAAGCACGAAAATACATCAGAAACACCAAAGTCAACCACTTTTACCACCATTAATTAGTTTTCTCCCTTCCTTTTTCCCAATATATGATTTTTTTTTTAGTTCTTTCAGAACTACCATCAAACACTTTGTATGCAATAATATAAGCTCAACACTAAATCCCAATTTTTCGACAGGATCAATTTCGAAACACTGCACATTATTCCTGGTCCACACATAATAAAGAAAAATCATGACTTTATATCCAAATTTCATGGGAAACAATTCAAAGTTGCATCTATTTTTGACCAAGTCCCAAATAACGTGTCAATTTAACAAATCTTAATAATACAAGAAATTATTGAAAATTTCCTACTATTTTTTTAACAAGTTTTTCCTCAGGATTCAGGATTCTCGGTAACCAATCAAATAGTAGCTTTGCCGTTTGGAAACTCGGAGGAGAAGTGATAAAGGAAAGAAATGAAAACCATAAGTTTAGACATAGAAGTAATGATAAGAGAGGCGTACTCTGAACCCTTCTATGGAAACTTCAGTGTCGAATTCCGAACTCCAAAAATGTGGCTTTAAAATTGAGAAATTGCGAGCAGAATATGAGAATCTCGGACTTGAGAGGGAGACCGAGACACAGAGAGAAGCGAGAGAGAATAAGAAAAGTTTTTTCTTTTTATTTCAATTTTCAATACACTTTCGTAACTAGTGTTGGAATTTTGAACGGCCGTCCACAACTGCTTACAAATATTGAGTTTTTGCTTAAAGCCCGACCCGACCCGACCCAACCAACAATTATGGGGCGCTCGCCCGAGTCTAAAAAGGCCCATGAACGGGCCGCGGGCTTCTATTGGGCTGCCCGAGCTCGGTCGAGTAGCCTGAACCCGATCGAGCAGCCTGAGGCCATCCGAAATACTTGAATTTTTTTATATTTTTTTAATTTTTATAATTATTAACTTATTTTGTGTTAACATTTTATAAAAACTAAAATCAATATTCAACAGACATTATTAACATAATTTAATAAATTAATTTTGTATATTAATTTTTAAATTTATAATTCATGATTGTCTCGTTAAAAACTTTACTAAAAAAACTCAATTGGGATAAAAACTTAGTAAGGAAAAAAGAGTGCAATCATTTTGTGACGAATTACAAATTTTACAAACTTATAAAGTCATACAATTACAATGTCAAAAGTAAATATATATTTACAAATTATAAATTTACAATTTAATTTGAAGCTGAAGGATCGTCTTCAAAATTAAATGTTAATCGATTAAATTCATCAATTCATTCTTGACTTGCCGGCGAAATTATATCCTGTAGACGTTGATCGACACGATCCCAATTCTTAATGTAGACCAAGGCTTCAACAATGTCCTTTGCAATGCATTCCGGCGATCCTCAAGTATTCGTCATGTCGTACTGAAGGCTTGTTCGGATGAAATAGTGGAGACTGAGATAAAAAATATATCCATTGTCAATCGAGTTAGGATTGGCCAAGTTACTGTCATGCCCTCCACCATTGAACTAAGTCAAACGATTCTCTAGTACCGTCGACTACTAACCCTTCACTGAGGTACGCCATAAGCTCGTTGAAGCTGCCGCTGTCGTTGCCACTTGTTGGTGAAGATCAACTCCCAGCTTTTGTTGGAGTTGTCTTCTTCTTCTTCTTCAACCCGAAAACATTCAAGAATGAATGATGGTTTTCATCTTGTTGTTGCGGTTCCTGTACTCTAGAGTTTGTGCTTCTAAACATAATCTCATATTTACTATAGATCGAATATATTTTGGCCTTTATTATTGGAAATTGGTCCAAACAATTGATGCCTAAAAATTCACCTAAGTTATCTAAATCACTTTCTAAACCGTCTAATTTTAATCTAGGATGAAAAATAGTACTTAAACCATACAACAAAGGCAACTTAGACTAATATTTTTTAAATTTCTTTTCCATAGATTGGATAGGAACTCCTGAGATTGGGATATTCGCTAAATAAAAAACTAATTCTTAAAAGTTCACCTAAAGCTAAAGGTGATGTTGGGTAATATGTTCCACTAAGTTTTAGAGTAACTTCATGAAACCTACCTAAAAATTGATACAAAATTTCAGTAATTTGTCAATCATATGCGTCTATATGTCCTACTCCTAATTTTGCACACATATAGATTGTTATAGCATCCTTATAGGGGATGCATTGTTGAAGCATTATATAAGTTGAGTTCCATCTTATAGGCATATCTAACGCTAATGCTCTATGAGGTATATTTAGGGCCCGTTCACTTCGCTGATTCGAGTTTGTAATTCGAGTTGAGATGTGATTTTGTGTGAGAGCTTTTTACTGTAGCAAAAAAGTTAGATGTGACTGTTTCTGAGAGCTTTTTACTGTAGCAAAACTCAAATTCTAAACTCGAATCGGCGAAATGAACGGGGCCTTAATGCTTGTAAGAACCTAAACCAATCTTCTTGTGTTTGGTTACTACCTTGAATCCATGCAAGACTATCTTTAATTCTTTAAATGTGATTGTCACGCCCCCCCAAATGGGGTGGGTGACGTGGAGCTCGATTAGAGATTAATAGAGCAGATTCCCAGACGAGCCCCACTCGACTGAATTAAAATATAAATACATTACTACAGAATCCTGAGCCTCTGACAACACACAGGGCTCCACCACACAGGATATACAGTATCGTACATACATGAACATGTAAATAATCATTACAACAGACATCAACGACAGTCCAGTTAATCCAAATATTTCATAAATTTACAGAATTCTCAAATTCCTTACATTCGTTCAAGAGGATGAACACAATCCTCACTTGATCCAACAATAGCAATCTCCAGCTACCCTGCACCGCTCCTAGAGTCTCTTGGGAGGGGTTTAATACATTTAAAACATAAAACGTGAGCGAAAGGCCCAGTAGGATATAATTTGAAATAAACGTTATAAATTAAATGAATAATAAGTGAGCAAGAAAATAAATAAATGAATAAGTAAATAAAATAAGACATTCAATTCCTACAGACAGCCGGAACCTCACATCCTTTTTCTCAAAGGAAATATAACTGAAAATAACCGTTTTACAGGCTTCAACAAGTAATTAGTACAAATTACTTACCTAACCAAGTGTCTCGCCTACCCGGACCGAGTTTCAGGTTCTGCCCCCGAGGACGCACTATTCGCATCCTATCTAAGCTTACAGCAATAGACTCTCTTACCAGTTCACAAGATCTCTTTGCTTAAGAAATCATTTATTAACTTTCTGATGAAATCGTTCATATGACCCCACGAACTACTCAAGCCGCGGGCCCCATGACTGGGCAAGCCATGTGGTTCCATGATTGGACAAGCTATGGATTCCATGGACAGGACAAGCCATGGATTCCATAAACTCCACAAGCCGTGGTTTTCAAAGAGTTTGTTTTCGCAAAATATTTTTGGAAACAGGCTCACAAGGAAAAAGGGATAGAAATCCTACCTCGCACTATCAAACCTAGGACTAGCGTTGCCTTTTCTGGCTTCTGTTTCCTCAAGCCCCTTCAGTCTGAATCCTCAATGATCACTGATGCAAGACAACACTTTAGGATTAATTCTCATTCCTAAAGCAATCCAAATCTCAATTTCCAACAAAGATTTCCTATTAGTGTGCCCTAATCCATTTTCATGTTTCAAATTATCATTCCAAGGGTTTTCAATCTCAAAACAAGG